TGTCCCACCTGGGGAAAGGGACTCCAAAACATGGGGGCTACTGCAGGAGTGAAATCCTGCAGGTTCTGAGCAGTTCTGGAGAACCGGTAGCGGAAACTTTGAGTAGTTCGGAGAACCGGCAAATACCACCTCTGGCTGGCCCCGCCCCCATCTATTATCTGCCTCCCGAGTCCCAGCTGATTGGGAAGGAATGGGGATTTTACAGTAACGTTCCCCTACCACGCCCACCAAGCCACACCACGCCCACCAAGCCACACCCACAGAACTGGTAGTAAAAAAAATTGCATTTCACCACTGGGCTACTGCAAAGAAAACCTGCCTCCCTCCTCCTGCCCATCCCATGCCCATGGGCTCCTCAGAGGGTCTCTCTCCACCAGAGGTGGGTTCCTACCAGTTCGCACCAGTTCGGTAGAACCGGTTCGTCAAATCTACCGAACCGGTTAGAAGAGGTTCCACCAGTGGACCCGGAAAGCAGGCCACACCGAGAGAAGAGGGTCCAAACATTTTTTGAAACCCACCACCGCTCTCCATGTTCGGACTGCAGAGGCCCTCCTGCTTGGCAAGGGAACTCCTGCTCCAAATGGGCAGCCCAGAAGCCTACCAAGAACCCCTGGGCATGGCCACGCCCTGCTGTGTGGAATTGTCCCACTAGAGAACCAATTGCCAAGCATCAGTCATGTGATCAGGGGATGGGGGTGGAGAGGACAGCGCAATGCTTTACGACGGCCAGAAGTGCTTTACCAGCCGTTGAGCATCTTTGGGGAGGTGGCAGTAATTTCCAAGGGTCCTTAAACAACTGGTTGTAAGTCAAGGACTGCCTGTGAGGCCTTTGAACATTCCTCAATCCATCCACATTTTCTCTGAAAAAATATGAATTAATAGAAGGTGCTGCGACTGGCCTTTTGAGATCTCTTATGCCCTCGCTTGCTTACAAAATAAGGGGCTGAAAGTTCTTGCTCTGGCTTGAGCCTTTGGAAACATTGGGCAGATCCTTGCTGGAGACCGAGGTCTTGTGTGGAGTTAGAGAGTCAGAGGATCCTCCACCTGAAAGGGATCTTGGAGGATTCTGGAGTCAAGACCAAGGAGCCCTCAGGCAATTCAGCCTCTTCTTGGAAACTTCCAGGGATGGCAGCTTCTGGAGGGCAAGCTACTCCATCTCTCTCTCATGCTCTCTCTCTCTCTAGTCCATCTTAAAATGTCTATCTATTAATCCCTCCATCTATATCTATCTATATCTATTTATCTATCTATCATCTATATCCCTCTATCTCTATCATTCATATCTACCTACCTATCTAATTTCTATATCTTTCTATCTATCTTATCTGCTATCAATTCTCTCTCTCTCTCTCTCCTATCTATCATCTATATCCCTCTATCTCTATCATTCATATCTACCTACCTATCTAATTTCTATATCTTTCTATCTATCTTATCTGCTATCAATTCTCTCTCTCTCTCTCTCCTATCTATCATCTATATCCCTCTATCTCTATCATTCATATCTACCTACCTATCTAATTTCTATATCTTTCTATCTATCTTATCTGCTATCAATTCTCTCTCTCTCTCTCTCCTATCTATCATCTATATCCCTCTATCTCTATCATTCATATCTACCTACCTATCTAATTTCTATATCTTTCTATCTATCTTATCTGCTATCAATTCTCTCTCT